TAACAATGGACATGTTTCTAAATCTGATTTACGATGTGAATCTCGGCATCCTTAGAGAACATTGAACAGAAACGTTGCTGTTTTTATTGACCTGGGACATACATTTAAAGCAAAGAGTGGGTGTGCTATGCAAATGAAGCTTCCAATTTTTTTGGTAATCTTAACCAGTATCAACCCTGTGATAACCTCCCGAACAAAGCCCGGTGAGCTAACAAAAATTTATGTTTGCCATGCAAATGTAGCTTCAAGGCAGGTATCCTCAGTGTCCACTCCCACCCACAATATCAAATTGTCACTTCTAAGCCTCTCTCATACAGAAATTCTGGAACCACCAATTGAAGTTATTTCATACGTATGGGTTCCCCAAAGCTTTCCAGGTGTCAGATCAGGAAAGACAATGGAGCTGCCTGGGCATTTGCCATTTGTCCCTCATTGGGTCCTGGCTTTCCAGCTTGGTGATGTCTCTGATGTTCTAGGAATCTGTGTGGTCAGCAGGGTTGGCCCTCGTGCACCTGTCCCTTGGCGACTGGTGAGCCAGTCTGTGGGGAGATTGGGGTTAATTCGAAGAGCAGATAGAAGTGGTGGAGGTGGGTGGAGGGGGACAATTCTTACATTATGTCCTCCTGGCTTGGAACAGAATGCTATCAGCAGAGATGAAAAGGAGTGGGATGTATTTCTAGAATGCAGTGATTGCAATTTCCAGTGCCACTGGAGATTCCAGCTCTTGCTACAAGGGTGCTGGACACCAGTAGGAAGTCCAGATGCTGCTGGAGGGATCATCTCCAAGTTTTCCAAGAATAGCCATCCTGGGAGATGGAAGTTAGGGGACTGGCCTTGGGCAGCTGGTAGAGATAGATGAGACTGTCAAAGCAGCTTGTAAATGAGCCCCAGCTCACTAACTGTTTGCAGGGAAGTCTTGCCCCCTTTCCCACCTTGCACCCACACCCACTGAAAGCAAACGTAACCAGACCGACCATGTGGCCAAGATGAGTTCTTGCAATGGGTACTTATAGATGACTCTAAGGATGCTTTGAAGAAGAGGGATTGGGGGAATAGTCTAGGTGGGAATGCTACAGGGTGTTGCTCAGGCTGTGGACTGCACAAGGCGGCTTGAGTTGGCAAGAGGAGATTGAACCAACCTGCACTCCATCTGCCCAACTGTGTATCCTGTTGCAGTGCTGGATCTGCCTGAGAAAGAGCCCCTTTCCTAATTTGCTGCTAGCAGCAGACTGGTTCTTGGCTAGCGGATCTTTTAAGGGGACGGTAGTACACCTAGATGGTCAGAGGCCCACTTTTTTGCTTTTGCTTAATTCTTGGGTGGGTGGGATTTAGGTGGGTGATGAGGAAAGTGATCATTTCATTCCCAGTTTTGAGTCTTTGGAATCAGAACTGGATTCTCATTTCACATACTTGCTCTGGGACCTTGGGTAAGGCATTTTACTTCTCTGATCTCCAGTTCCTTCACTGATAACATGACCACAAGATCATCTTTTTCCCTGGTTATCATTCGGGCCCTGTGAAATCATATATAGTGCCTGTGCCATAACTTCCTACTTTTAAATTCAGTGCCAAAGGTGTGCTTCACCTCGGCGACGGAGACCCAGAGAAATCAAAGGATGGGTAGAGCATGGGCCATAGCGCTGAGAAGTCCTGCATTTGGGTCTTGGCTCTGAGACTCTGAGATGGGCAGCTTTGCATTTCTGAGCCTCTGTTCTTTCATTTGTGAAGCGAGGACTCACACCTTTCCCAAGGGCTTTATGAGACTTAATTAGGAAAACATATGGAAATTGTCCTGTATGGTGCCAAACGTAGTGTGAGTTTATAATAATAATAATACCTGTTAAAAATTGTTTTCCCATTTAGCCTATATTGTCTTACATGGTTTTCAAATTTTAGTTTATTTACTTTTCACATCAGCCTTAAGAAAAGGGAATAATGATTATCCCCATTATTACAGATGAGGAGAAAAAAGCACAGAGAAGTTAGGTAATGTTCCTGAAGTCACACAGTTACTAACACTGTGTTGGTCACTTCTCTTGGTCCTGGGTTTTGGCAGACAGGGTGGCCAGTGTTCTTGGAGACCCTGAGTCTTCTTTTAAGAGGGACTTCCCAGAAACCCCCCCAGATCCAGCCTTGTGGATCGAGTACCTTCCTAGTGTTTTAAATGTGTATTATCTCATTGAACCCAAAGAGCTCAGACAGGGAACCCCTAAAATGGACTACAGTCTGTTTAGTTTCCATCATCCAAATGCTGCCCACAACATTTTTACCAGATCCCCTTACTCTGCTCAATATTACTTAATTATATTCCTATCATACCCTCCCCCTTTTTTACATCATTACTACCTTGCTACCCTCCCCTCCTTTTCAAAACACTTAAATACAATGACTTAATGAGAAAATTTAATACAAAGACCATGTATGAAAACCAGGATCACAAATGACTAATAGAAGAAAAGCAGCAATAAACAAATATCCAGTGTTGGTTGATTCTGGCCACACACTGTTGCCTGCTTGAAGCCAAGGGCCTGAGGTCTTCCCTTTCTGTGTTGTCTAGGGAGGCAAATGCTCAAGAGAGGTGTAAAAGACAAGGTAGTATCAAACTGAGGCTTTGATCTGGAAGGAATGAGAGGGAGGAAAGAATCCACAATGTTTTCATGAAGCTCTCTGAAATGGTCCCCCGTCTGATAAAAAGGATTTATTCATAGGCCTTTCCTTGCGGGATTTTGTGATCAAGAATAGGTTTATTGGCAAAATTGGCAAAAGCTATGTCTTAGCGGCACATAAATTTTGTTTCTTTTGCAGTCTATCCTTTACACATTTTCTTTTTTTTCCCTGGAGGGATCTTTGAAGCCAACTGCGGGCGGAAAGGAGAGATGCTTGTGGTGTTTGGTGGAATGAGCTACGTTGAAATGGCCAGTCCTAAGCCTCAGTTTACTCATCTGGAGATTGGGTCTAATCCTACTGAAGTGCGTTCGTATGCCTAAGGCACTTCGCCAAGTGCTGTCCCATAGTAAGCACTCAATAAATGTCAGCTGCTACTATTGGAGCCTGTCACAGTGCTTAGAACTGAAGCCTCATTCTAGTTCAACTTCCACGAAGAGGGAACCAAGGTCCAGAGAAGGAAGTGAGTTGCCTGAGGCCTCACTGTGAGGGAGTGGCAGGGTTGGGGGGAGAGCGCCTTCACCCCTCTATCTTTGTCCACCGATCCCCCATGTCAGGCTTCTGGCCATCATGTTTTATCTAGCAATATTTAATCCCTGAGCCTAACTTCTAGATAAAGGGTAAGGGAAATCTGAAGTCAAGCTCCCTTGCTTCTGTTCAGATCCCAGTTGGCCCTCAATGAAGATTATTAACAGCGAATATTTATTGATCACTTACTGGGAGCTCTGGCCCCATTGCTCCCTCTGCTCCCATACTGACCTTGCCTCTTATATATCTCAAAATTGCTCTCACCTCAGGATCTTTGCACTTGCCGTTCCCTCTGTCTGAACTGCTGTTTCCCCAGATATCTGCAAGGCTTGCTTTCTCACTTCATTCATCAATGCTTAAAGACCACCCTCCTCAAAGGCCTCCCTGACCACCCTATCTAACAGAGAGGTAAAAAAAAATCTTTTACACTCTGTTCACTTCCCTGCCTTACCTTTTGTCATGGTCTTTATCACTATCTGGCAGGTCAGGGTAAGCAGTCATAGGGTTGGCTGGTGCAAATAATTTCCATGAGCTCTAGGACAGAGGCTGTCCCTAGGTGTCTGGTACCTGGCTCTCAGTGATTGAGGCAGGAGGATGGATTGTGGCCTGGAGTGAAAGAGCCCAATAAAAGAGGTAGTTGGAGGTGTGGGCTCTGGATTGGTGGTTTACATTGGAAAAATACCTTGAGTTGTTTACTATCTCTAGGAACTAGCTAGCCCTGGTAGCGGCTGACCTTCCAGAGTTATCAAGGTTCCAGGATGTCAGAGCATCAAATTCAGAAATTAGAACACACACTTGATTCAGTCTTCCATACTCTTCTCTCACTATGATCGAGCCTCACAGGTCTTCTTTCGGTTCTTCAAGTCTACCAACCTTCTTCCTGCCTCAAGGCCTTTGCATTTGCTGTTCTCTCTGCCTGGGCTGCTCTTGCTGCTGATCTTCCACAGCTGGATCCTTCTGGTCATTGAAGTCTTAGCCCTAATTGTACCTCTTCTGAGGAGTCCTCCCTGACTACCCCTTCTCAAGAATACTTGTCCTCCTTACCCCACCAAATACTCTCTAAACCAGCCTCCTGTTTTATTTCCTTCATGGAATTCATCCCAATCTGAAATGGCCATTATTTGTTCACTGTCTGCCTCCCCAAATAGGCAGTGGGCAATGTCAGGGCATCGCTTGTTCCCCATAGCCCCCCTTCCTGTGCCTAGGACAGCGTCTGATACGTGATAGGCACTCAGTAAACAAGTGAGTGAATGAATTTGGACTTGAACTCAGGTGGCCCTGTTTTAGAAGACATGCACTTTCAAAAACCCAGACTGCTGCCCCTTTGTGGAAGGTTTGAGCTGGAATCGTACTTCCAGTTCTCCCTTTTTCAGTTGGGAGGACTGAGGCCCAGAGAGGGCCTGGAGAGACTTCCTCAGCCTCTCCCAGCCAGACGGTCCCAGAACCTTCATCTGTGCCCCTACACACTCTCTGGCCAGGTCTGACCCATTGCCCACACAGGCCCCTTGGCCTCGGCGCTGCTCCTCTGAGGCCCAGCCAACTTTCCACTTGCCTGGAGCTCCTGCCAGGTGTGTAAACAGGCCAATGTGATTCCTGGTGATGCAGCAGGGAGCGAGATCGTTTCCTGACCAGACTCAACAGGACAGCGCCCTCTGGCCCTCTGGACCAATAAGCAGGATTTTCGGACACCCCCCGCCCCCCTCCCGGCCCCCCGCCCAGACCTTGAAGACACAAAGTCAGCACCTTAGCAAAGCCAGACCTGGCTGGGGCCTGGAACGAGTTGCACACATTCTCCCGAGCCCCTCTCTCCAGCTGAGATGCATCGGAGAAGAGACACACAAGACCACAGCTCAAAGCACCTCCTGGCAAGTTACTTCCCTCCCCTGAGCCTTGATTTTCTCACCTGCAAAGTGGGCATCCTGAAACCTACCTGCTGGGAAGACTTGAAAGGGTCTGACGCACAGGAGATGCTCGATAAAGGAGCCTGGCTGTTGCTCTTATCTGCATACTGGGGGTACCAGGCTCTTGGCTCTGCTACTTGTCCCTGAAATTTACAGGTGAGGGGCAACCAATGGGGAGGAGCCTGTGTTGTTGGGTGGAGGGAAGCACTGACAGGGGACAGAACAGCAATCCCCAGCTGATAAAGAAGTAGGAAAAGGCCTGAGGGGGCCACAGGCCCAGCGTCTGTCTTGTCCCTCTGTCCCTTTTGCTCCACTCTCCTGTGTGGGTCCTTACCAGCAGTCAGGGCCAAGATGGGGATTTGATTTCAAGCATATTAAGCTGTCTTATGGGAATGTGCTGGAGTTCCTGGGAGGCTGTAGGAAGTGAATTCAAGATTGTTGATGTCCTGGGCCACATGCCTTATTCATGCCCCCTTCTCTGCTCCCCGAGAGGCTCTTAAGAGTCATAGCCAACACCTCCCAGTACGTATGATGTGCCAGGCACCATTCAAAGCACTCAGGCTTGCTAGCTCAATTTGCTCACCATGGCTCTGCGGGGCAGGTGCTGTTACTGTCCACATTCACAGATGGGAACACTGAGGCACAGAATGGTTTAGTCACTTGTCCAAATGCCCAAGGCTTGGAAGCGGCAGAGCTGGGATTCAGACCCTGGTGTTCTAGCTCTGGAGTCTGTGTTCTTAGCCACAACGTGTGATGCAGGGGTGATAGATCTGTTTTTTTTTTTTTTTTTAAAGATTTTATTTATTTATTTGACAGAGAGAGATCACAAGTAGACGGAGAGGCAGGCAGAGAGAGAGAGAGGGAAGCAGGCACCCTGCTGAGCAGAGAGCCCAATGCGGGACTCGATCCCAGGACCCTGAGATCATGACCTGA